CAACTGCGAGCTCCAGGCCCAAGTGTTCCCTGCCGGACCTCAACCACAGCACACAACCACAACACAATCACAAACACATAACCACAAACACACACAAACACACAGCCACAAACACAACCAGAAACACACAACCACAAGCACACCACCACAAACACACGACGACAAACACAAAACCACAAACACACAACCACAAACACAACCAGAAACACACAACCCCACAAACACACAACCACAAACACACAACCACAAACACACAAACACACAAACACAAAACCAAAAACACAACCAGAAACACACAACCACAAACACAACCAGAAACACACAACCACAAGCACACCACCACAAACACACGACGACAAACACAAAACCACAAACACACAACCACAAACACACAACCACACAACCACAACCACACAACCACAATCACACAACTGCAAACACACAACCACAAACACACAATCACAAACACGCGTCCGCAAACACAACACACTACAAACACAATCATAAACACGCAACCACAAACACACAAACACAACACACCACCAACACAATCACAAACACGCAGCCACAAACACACAACCACCAACACAATCACAAACACGCAGCCACAAACACACAAACACAAAACCACAAACACACAACCACAAACACACAACCATAAACACACAACCACAAACACAAGCCACAAAAACACAACCACAAACAGTCTAGCTTCGCTCCGTCTTTTCCTGGCTCTCCTATGCCACGGGACGGGGAAGTCCCAATGGCTCTCAGGGGCGCCTTCACGTGTCGACGTGGAGTTCAAGAAGTTCCCAACAGCTGGCGAGTCTTGAGCCCTGGTTCCTGCTGAGAATCCAATGGCTGGCTGCGCCCTCCAACACACCAGGGTCGCAGCCCGCCGCGGTTGACTGAAACGCCCTCGCTCGGAAGTACGAATTCAGTTTTCTCGTGAGCCGATCATACTCCACCACAGTTGCGGGGCCCGACTCATCATGAAACGATACGAAGTGACCTACGCCTGGGATGGGAGCCTGGGTGTGCATGACATGGAAAGCCTGCGGCATGCCCAGTGCTGTACCGGGCGCCAGATCACACCCTGGTCCTGGTGCCCCAGGGGCGACATGCATCACCAAGTTAATGCCCATCGCCTGGGCCAAGTTCCGCATCTGTTGAATGGTGATTGGCATGTAACCTCCTCGCACCAATATTGTCAGCCTTCGAGGGTTCAGGAGTGGTGCAACCAAATTCCCTCTCGTGGTAGTCCTCTTATATTGCCCAAACCTGTTGCTCCAGTGCATCCGATTTCCTCGCCTCAGGCCGAAGACTGCAGCTTCACCGTGCTTCACCTTCCGTAATATACACAGCTAGGATGGTCAAGATATTAGTGTCTACTGGACCACCATACCTAGTGTAATTCCGGTCCCGCTGCAAAGCCCTCGCCACCATCGTGAAGTTCACCCCCCCTGGGTATGCTCCACCAAATGCAGGCGCTTGAATCTCCCAGGCTGGAAACTCGAGAACCACCCTCCCATTGGCATCCTTCACCACTCCTTCAGGCAATAACTCATTTTGCCTATTGTCCTCCTCAACCTCCACGATTTCAACACCGACTAACGCATCGTGGATATATTCTGTGAGCGCAAAGGCAAGCACCTCGGCCTGTAGCTTAGCCTCGGCGTCATCCACAGGCTCAGTGGGACAAGCGCCTGCACGCCACAGCTCCTGCCTCGCCCTGCTTTGAAAGGGTGCATGAGTCTGCCACTCACTGCTCCACACGCACACGCAGGTCTAAATCTGGGGCCCTCAAATGTGGGGGCAGCACCTGCTGAGTAATCTTGAAATTCCTCCTCCTGATTTTCCAGAATCCAGCATGCTCTCCGTCGCCTCCCTACATTCGATGCTACCACCACCTGCCCTGTGAGCGTGTTTTGGGCCCCAAATAACCCTGGAGGCATCCACAATGGTTGTTCATCAAACTCTTTCCACCCCTCCAGGAATGTCTTCGTGGATGGGTTCCTAGTGAACCTCAGCCCAATAGAAAAGTCTTCAGACTGTTTTTAATTACATGTGGTGCACTATAGCCATAGCAAATCATAGCAAACTGGTGAAACGGATTTTTCAACGGGAACTCCTCACGGTACTCGCGCGGATTTTGCAAGCGCGACGTGACGACGACATTCCAGGCGAGCTGCGATGATGGAGAGGCCACTTTTGCAAGCCACAGTCTTTCCTGAGCACAGCATGAAAACATATCAAAGCTATACCAGGGCTTTCAAGGGGTGGTTAACGGACACTTAACGGCTAAGGGGCTATAAATAGACACCCCTTGGAGGGTCCTGGTATACATATCATACTTTGTTTTAGCCATGATGTCCACAAAGTCATGGCTGAAAAGGCATGAATGCGCCTGACAGACAAAGCACCAAGTGCCTACACAGGTCCCGTGGCGGCATGCAGGAGCCATCCAGTTTCCACCAGATCACATCAACACCAGGCAAAACACTGAAGAACTTGCTTTGCTCTTGAGTTTGGCAAGGAATGCAAACAGCACCTCGTGCACCCACACACATTCACCCACCAAGTAGCCAAAAGAAAACTCCTTCAGCGTCTGATGACTTTCCTGTGTTCTTCCGTGTGTTCTCCACCCTCGGTCAAGCTACCAACCTCCGCTCTGCAAAAACTGCTCGACCCGTCTGCGGCACCTGAGCTGGTGGACGATCGACATTGACGGAGGTGGGCTTTCTGTGACGTCTAAAGACCTCTAAAGGAAGAGGAGTTCTTACCTCACCCCAAAAAATGAAATGATCCTTAGGATTCCAACGACCATTGATTTAATAGTTTGAACATGTTTAACCAGAACAACCATAGTTTACTGAGGAATTTAGACTACAACACCAACTTTCCTTTGAACAGGACTTGAAGCTATAGGGATATCATGTCTCAGCTACCCCCCGTTGCGTGGTCTTTGTAAACAGCTGCGAGCGGCTCGAGCAAGGCTTCGGCCGGAGAGGAGGCGCTGCTGGGAGGAGCAAGGCAAACGAAACCCAAACGACTCCCATCGCTCAAGGTGGTCCAGCCTCGCGCGAGGCTGAAGGGGAGTTGTAGGTGCACTTGGGTGCAAACGCTTGGTGAATCAAAGCCTGACAGAGATAAACACCTCCACTAATGGGGGTTGAAATATTATTCAACCATATAGATGCTTTTTGATGAATATGACGGTGGGCATTATCGGTTGGTCATGGTTGAACAATTCATGCCATACATGTCAGTACCAGAGGGAAAATCCAAGAAGAACAAAACCGTGTGGTTCTCAAGCCCTTCAAGAAGCCAAACCCTCGGGTAATTAATCGAAGAAACATTGCCTGTTGGAAGGTAGGGACGGGCTGCTTATCCACTCACTGGATGGATCTCAAGAGTACTGGATGCTTAGTAATCCCAACTGGTGCCATGGCTGTAGTTCCATGCGCCGAATCAGTGTGTGGTTCTCAAACATCCCTGGGAAGGACACCCACTTAGATCTTGGATTTGCTTGAGGAACTTTGAAAAAAGAAAGTACGCGTCTTTCCCATGAAGGGTATTCATCCACAAAGAATCTTCCTCCTAGGGTCCAGGTACCTTCCTGCTGATGGTCGAAGATGAAGGGTATCGGTGAGGTCGTACTGAAAAACGGGGCGAAAAACGGAGCGAAGAAACGGAGCGATCCAATTCGAGAGATCTTTTTGGTCCAATCGTCAGACCCAGAAACCTCTGACACACCGAGTCCAGCTGGCTCGTTCGCGGTTTTCCAACGGCATCTCCTTTACCAAATAACCTTACCCTCCCTGAAAATGCTATCCACTTTCCATCACTTTTCCAGCTGAAGGGCACCAAAAGGCCAAACGGTACAGTTCATTTCACGCCCCAGTCGTTGCATTTGCGTGGTTGATGCTTGAAAAAATCCAACTCCGGCATCTCCGCGACACCCCTGTTCACCACCACCATCTCCGTCGGTGGCCTTCTGCGTCGCACGGAGCTTGGAGCCCATGCTTGCGCAGGGAGCTGACTTCTGCATCGCCGGGTTTCGCACGAGCGGGGAGCCGCAGGACCACCTGGGTAAGACTCAGAGGACCACCTGCAGGGAACAGTCTGGAATTGGTCAAAAAGAACCTTTAAATTTGACATGACATGGACATCCAAAAGAATGGGACATTCCAAATTCTGAGCTAAGATTTGATTTCAGGAAGTGTTATTATAGGTTTCTTAAAATGTATTAAATAACTACAACATATAAATAGTATATAAATAGAATCCACGAGTATGATCCATTGCATACATCTTGCTTGAATTCGAGCACCAGGCGTCTCACAAACATCGATCAATTCACCTTCCCTCTGCACGGGTTGAAGGACATCCGTTGCCATCACGCCAATCTTCGGAGCCCAGACCGTCCATGTCTCCCAAACACCATGGGTCTGGCATACTTACCGAGCAGTTGGTTGAAAAGGCGTCAGGTGAGCATGGCAGTCCCATGGATGGTCTGGGAAGAATCGTTCGCTTGTTATGAACAAAACATCTGGGGTGAACATCGTTCGCTAGATGGTGGACCAGGGCTCCAGGTTTAACCCATCCCCACATCTGTCCCAAACAGGCTTCAAGATAGGTCATTCTTAGGAGTACCTACGTGACCCTAATTACATGTAAAAAGTCTGGGCATATGTCAAAACATGATCTATGGTTATGTACACAATTTGAAGGCCATACAGTACGGATGGTATTGAGACCTGAGAGTAAAAACCGTGTGATGCGTGAATTGAAATAGTGTCATGAAGTGCTAGTAAAGTGAGACCACAGCCCACTGAGCAAGAACATCTCCGTTTTGATGGATATTGATGGGTCTACAGGCAGCTGTCGGAAATCATCACAAATCACAACGATTAAGTTGTCTTGGAAAAATAACAACATGTCAGAACACGAGACAAAATCCTTTCTGACCCCACTGTGCTCCACTCTTTTAAGAAGTTAGATTCGAGCTCATGCCCTCAAAACTCCTGGCTCAACTGCCAAATCCTTTAGAGAACCTTAGAGAACCTCTTCTAAAACTATCACCTATAATTAGGACTTGAGCAGATTTCTAGCTCCATTCGTTTGGTTTCTTTAATCCACAAATCGATCTACGCTCACCAAGACACAATGCCAGGAGCATCTTGCAATCGTGGCTGCTCCATGATGCGCTTCGCGCTCCATGGACGATAGCCAGGTCGTGCAAGCAGCGATGTTGGACAACTTACTTGTGAGTCTCACGCTGCAACTAAAAAGGCTGTTCCGATGGTCCAATGCCACGTCAGCTTATGTCGGCATCAAGGAAGAAGGTGCTTTGACGATCTTAGTCTTAGATACCAGTTGACTGCAGTAGAACAGTATAGCTGTTATTGTCCAGCCATGTGAGTGGTCCTTTCATCAATGTCATCATGTCCTGGTCTTCGGTGTTTCGGTCTTCAGGCGCGAAGACGGCGGGTTACTGATGACTGGTGACTGGGGTGTCCTACTCCCCAGCCTGTGGGCATATCGCTCCCCAAGTCACTCCTCGACCTGGAGACTAAAACAGCTTCTGGTGAAAAACAACAACAACAAAACAAACTGAGCGTTCAACATGGTAATGGCTCAACACCGGGGGACCTTGGTTGACCAATCAAAATGCGGGCAAGCAAACCCTATGATGGATCCACAAACCGAACCTGAGAAGTTGATTGGGTACACTTGTATGTAGGCTTGGAGGGTCCAGTCGTACCGAACCTGAGAAGGCATGTGGATCCCTATGGGCAGAGTTTCGAAGTAGTCGATCTTGCCTCTCATCCCCCACACGAACCCGAGAGCTCTGAGATGCTGTGAGAGCCGGTGATGTCACCAAAGGTTTCGGAGCCTCCAGGTTTGGACTACAGAACCGGTGTGTGTCCACCGTCCCCCAAAAGCCTCCATCAGAAATTCACACCTCACATGCATAATGACAATAAATAAGATTAAATAAGTACATGATCAACATGAACCCAGAATATGACATCGAATCGGTCATGTCCCTACCAACCCATGATCACTGAGCGGGTATGCCACCTGCAAGCTATTAGCTAAAGACTTGTAAATCTCAATTTGAAGTGCTCTCCTACTTTGAACAAACCGTTATCAGCATCTGCATACCGTGAAACTCGGAGGGACTCGGACCCTTTTACTGACAGTTCACCAGAAGTTCTGGGACACCAACCCCCCCAATTCACCCGATCTCCCCCATTCACCCGATCTCTCTTCCTCCTGGTGGATGTCCATGTGGTGGCGGATGGCCTCCCTCATGAGGGAGTGGCCCATACCCAGGTGGTGGTGGCCCATATCCACCGTACGGTGGCGGGTAGCTTGGCGGCGGGTGCTCGTAGCCGCCATAGCCGTGCGGTGGCGGGGGGTAGCCGTGCGGCGGCGGATAGCCGTGCGGCGGCGGATAGCCGTGCGGCGGCGGATAGCCGTGGGGTGGCGGATAGCCGTGGGGTGGCGGATAGCCGTCTGGATGCGCTGGTGGATGATCATAAGGCCTCAGCCACATCGGCCATGTGGAAATCACCGGAAATCGCCCTGCTTTGATTCAGTTCTTTTTTGGCCCCAAACGTGTAGATCTCAGTTCCAACATCATGACGCCGCTTCTGGCTAATGGAGCATGCAAGGTGTCCAAAAGAAGGAAGGCACCCAAATGCATGAAACTTGGAAGGGTTCTTGCTGGAGCACTTGCAAGGAGTGGCTGTGGAGGCACTAGACCTGTGAAAATCTATATATATATAATATGCCTTAATTAATTATATAACAGCAATACTATAGATATCATACAGAAAAAAATGTGTCATGTATATATATATATTTTGCTACAATGTCAGCACCACCCAGTTCGGGTGGTTCCACCATCCCTGCCTCGTTGACCGACCATTCGTGCTTTCCATCTGGGCCCATGAAGACAAATGACAAAAGAAACAAAATCCTCCAGGAGTCACAAAGGGGTGGTGTTTAGTCCCTAAGTGAGTGGATAATGGGCACCCCTAACCTCCATAGATCGCACCCCTTTGTGACTGCTGGCTGTCATTTCAAACAACACACCGAACCGACCGATAGATCCTGCGCACCGACCCCTCGGCCCCGAACGGTCCCGGGGGACGGTGGGGTGGAGGCGGACCGTCGTACCTAGGTACGGCGGAGAGGGGGTGGTTTCCATGGACACCCCAGAAAAGGTCTACTTAGAGCCATTAGACACCCCTTAGGCTTAGGGGGCCTCAGATTTATGGGCTTGTAATCTGTTTTAGTGGGGGCTGACGCACTCAGTTGATTTTCTAAGCTTTCTCAATGTGTACTTGTTCAATGGGGAACATGGGGAAACCAATGAGGTGATCCACTGAGTGGGTAGCTTTCAAAAGCAGGTTTAGATTTGCTGACTCCTCTCAAAAGCGTTAATTAGGTGTTGTTTTGGTGGAAGTTTCTCTGACCAAAAGGGGAGAAGAAACAAACACCGCATCACCCAACCGGCCATTTGCCGCAATCGACCCCACCGAACCCAGGGGGTTTCAGGGCCTGAGTTCTGCTGTCGCGCTCGGTGGACGTAGATCGATGGTGACCACAGACTGCTCACTGCCGCTAGATGAAAAAGGTGGAGACTTGTGGAAGTACTCAAGGTGACTCCTGAAGTACTTTCTACAGGGCAAAAAAAACACATCCATGAAAAATCCTCCGAACCCCACCCTAGCCACCTTTTGAAACCTACAGGGCTTGACTGTCTGATTCAGACTTGAAGTCTGAACTAGACTGGAGCCACGATGACAGGGATGACAGTGACCAGACTACTCGATCGCTGAAAAATCTATCAGAAACATGCAGTTTTTGTGACTGGACCGACAGGGGCTCCTGTCCCACCTCAAAAGGTACTTGACCTCCTGGCACCCAGCCCAATTACCTGGAAAACAGATCGTTGGAATTTGTAGGGATATGTATATGTGCCCGACAATCCATGAATGGAATATTTATATACCTACATTGGGGTGGTTGAACATGGGCTCAATGTAGGTAAATATCCACATTGCTGTCCTCTGTATATATGGAATATACACGGATCTAATTCCTTCGGTCAACAGTCGCTGTTTCCTGCCGTCAGTGAGTGCCAGGCACTCACTCTCAAAGTTTCAGTCCCTGATGATCAAGACAAACATCAACTGGGTATGTGGATCCCTAGGGCTCCTGGCCCATCTCCTCAGGTTCGGTGGTTAGACCCCCCTGGCACCCACCCCTGTCCCATCTTCGAAACGGAGGTGGTTGGAACCCTAGGGGATATACGCACGTATGGAACACTTGGATGTGTATGAGGAAAACACCAGATTGACCCCGCGGGAGAAGGAAACACCACATAACACCCTATTCCAATATGTTCCGGTACACACCCTCTGTCGTCTTTTTCAGGCTTCACCACCCAGAAAGACACCCAGCCAAATGTCTAAATCCCTGGACTGTTTGATTTTGGACAGTTGCTGTGGATTCCTGTATGTTGTTTGGGATGGGTCAACAAAACTACAACACATCACACTATACACTACACTACTTACTACTTGTGGATCTATACATTAAGCATCCCGTGAACAAAATTCAAGCAGTTGTTCCATGGTCTCTTCAGGCAGATTTACGGTCATCTTGGATTTCCCCTCAAACAAACGGGATAACTTAACGTTTTAAAACATCTTCTGGTGGTCCGCTCTGGAACCGAGAATATCACCATCACAACCCCCCAAAGCGCTCCAAAACCAGGTCATGCTCGAGCCGATGGAAAAATTCTTGACCCACTTGGCCGGCGCACCCACCCGGTGGCGGCCGCCCATGGGGTGGCGCACCTGGGGAAGAACGGCAGTCTGAAAGATGGAAAGGGGTCCAAGATTGTTTTGCAAAGGAAACGATCGAAATGCAAACCAAAAACACATGATAGAATAGATGGCGGATAATGTGTTTTTTCCTTTGAGTCCATGATTTCATATCCATAAACATCATGAAAGAATGAAAGGGACTAATGTTAATAAGTTGGTCAAACTTTGTCATATGAAACTAATTTGTACTCAAAAATAACTAGGTTCATATGATGAAGTGCCCCAAACCGTACCTTCTCGGCCTTTTGGCTATGATCAAGTGCAAGTGTAGTATCTGTTGTTATCAGTGTAACAACTGATACCCCAATCCAACATTCTCTGCATGACTGAACAGGTGACCATGGACTGACCTGGACACTTGCCTAGTCGACCGCCCCCCGTAGCACGTGACACCACACAAACGGCCTTGCGCTGGTGGCTCACTACCTCAGGGCAGAGATCGACCCAATCCAAGCTGCAACCTACTGCAGATCTGTCGAACCAAATTGGATCGCCAAGAGCATCATGTAGCTTTGGCGCCGATGAGCCTTGCATATGTTGTTTAAAAGACACATCCCAGTGGATCCCAGTTACTCTTATATATATACAAGGATTCCCAAGCAAATGGCATCAGCAAAAACATATCTATATGCCAAATGTTTAGGAAAGAAAACATCAAACAGCATAGGGGAAATAATTGGCACAAACAGATGGCAACTTGAGCTGACGAAAGATGCAACATTTCTAGGTCTACGGTGTCTGGGTCTTTGGATCCACTGGTTTCTATTAAAATAGTGGTAACTGGATCCAGCATGTCATGTCAATCAATAAAAACAAATATTAATTTGTTGGGCCAGCTTTGAATCACTATTTCCACCAACTTAACATGTCCATAGACCTTCCTGATCTACAAGCCACCCACCTTCAAATTTATCCAGTTGCCCAATTCAAGACATTAAACTTCAATTAAGCGCTTGGAAAAGGCCAAGTTGGTTTCTCAACTGAACACGGCTTCGGTGTGCCAAGTTTTGGGGCGACATGTCATGCTCCTCTCAGTCTTGGGTGAATTGGCCACGTCAAGAACGATCAACGAAGCCCCCGGAATCCCTGGCAAATCAGGCTCTTGGCTTAGAAAAGGGTTGAAAGTAGCGCTTGGCTTGGTTCCGTCCTCTGACCTAGTCATGTCTGATCGCATCGGATCGTGTTCACCGCTTGTCACAACTTCAAGCAAATAGTGCAAGTGCAACTGCGTAATGATGTCCTTCTCTGAGAATCACCAAAAGCAACCCAAACCATCCCAACGCAGACTCTTGCAG